TGGTCTCAGATCTTGCATACATATGCCTTTTGGTGCCAAGTAAAACTTTGAAATGGGGCGGGAGGGGGGAATTAATTTCTACCAACCATAGTCCTCCGCCTCGACCCCCCTTATTGTAATCGGATCCTCTCAAGAGCGAATTATCTGTAGTATTTACATTTTCCTCTCGAAGACAGTCGAGGAGTTCCTCTCGTTTAGAGGACCGTTCACAAAATCGATTAATTTGCAGGAACTGTTTGTTACTCACCGTTCTGTTTCCGAGCGGATCTACCCTCTCAAGGACTAGGTGGACCCCATCTAACCATTCCGAAGCCCACAAGACCTGGGTCAATAACAATTTTTCTTAGCCTTGTACACATTTTAAGTATTGCTTCTTCCCGGATAAAGCTACCAAATTCGAACCCCTCGGCCGGCTACTCAGTAAAAAAAACACCATGGATCGCCCATGTTCACCCCGACGGCGTTGAACGACCTATTTTTCTTAACATATCACGCACACGCACCTTGGCACCAACAGAACGCAGATACTTTCAACAAGGTAGCTGCAGTCCTGATGTTCGGGATTACAAAATTTCACAAATACATTTATGGTAACAGGTCAGCATTTATATTGACCGCTAACCCCTGATCGGGTTTATCCAGCGTGATGCACCCTCGCCGAACGCCAGATCGTCTCCCGACATGGTAAGAAAAACAGTAATGCGGATGCGCCTTCTCGTCTTTGACCACAGGACCACCATAGCGCCCTAAGCAAAAAATTGTCCGTCCAGAAATCGATTCCTGTATGCTATATGGGGCGACGGACGTGGATGATCCAGAACGATCACAACTTAGACAAGAACAACCGACTAACCTCCTACATCAGTGGGGCATTCGCCGTTGGAAGAGCCATCTCTCCAGAGGACCAACCGACTTCTTCAAATACACCAGGCATCAGCCACAGGTCACTGCTACTACAGTGGGACACCTTCCCAGGCTTTTCAGACAGGCAACACACGTCCGACAGGTCACAGTAGACGACCCCCATCATAGTTGAGATCCGGCTAGTCTGCGCCATAAACTGTTAATATCCGTTTCGTTAGACAGAACACTATACCACGTGGTGCACGGTAAGTATTACATAGGGATTTAACATGGGAAATTAGTTTTATGCAATATCCTGCCCTCCTGTACATTTTACAGAAAAAACTGTAGAGTTTAAAGTAGTTCAGAATTAAAATGTGTTTACTTCTTAATAAATATCACTGTACCTATTTTATACATAGGTACACCTTGCAAAAACCAATACTAGGTATAGGAGGGCGAATACCTCAGATTTTAATTGAAATAGCCCAGAAAAAGGATAAAGTACCTCTCAGACTTTAATTGAAATAGCTCAGAAAAAGGTCGAAGTATAAGACCAAATAATATCAAAATTTACCTGAAAGATTAAAGAAAACAGTTTATTATATAAATGAGTGGATGTACCCCCATTGTAACTGCGAATTGGTTAATGTAAGAGTGAAATAGACAATCAGTGCGTGAATCAGGTAGCATGTACAATAAAAAAAGGTCTGCGCCATATTGATGGATGGTTTAGCATCCTAATGGGGCCTATACACCTTATAGGCGCAAACTATATGGATTCATGAATTGTTCTCAAAACGGTTGCATGATATACCTACTTACCTATACATGTCATTTAACATAAAATTCTCTTCAAAGCGCTTCCAACCCTTTGAGTTCGGCAACTAGATGATAGAGATCTAGAATAGGGGAAGCCATCATAAGAACAAGGACTACCCATACTAATTCTTTGGCTGAAACTTTATTGGGAAAATAGCGTTAGCTAGTTTAAACCGAGTAAAATCATAATTAAAGTGAACAGTTTCTTTTTTAATTTTTTCTTAGTGACACAGGATAGAAGCAATGATTGAACCACATATTAACAACTGCAGGAGCACCTCTCAAACGCATTATGCGGGTCACTCTGTGATTGGGCGAAAGCCTGTTGAGGGTCCAGAACAAGAGACAATAAAAAAAATAAAAAATATTAATAGAGGATCGAAGTATAGGTACCTAACGAGTTTCCCTGGGCTTATGTGTATGCCTTTTTAGATTTTTCGATGCATTATCCTTTTTTGAAATTAACCTATACTTAAACCTGTTTTGCATCTTTGTTCAGGGGTGTACCTCCAATATTAGTGGTGGTAATTTTCGAATTTGGAAAATCCGGCCGTTCTTAGCCGGCACGTTCAGTAGGTATACCTAATCAATCATATCTGGGACGACTAAAAGTTGCCATTTTTGATATGTATACAGTAAAGAAGGGGGTAATATTGGAACGCTATTGGATTACTTTAAAAATTCATGATACTGTATACTGCAGTAGGTATATACAGTACTAAAATATTGAGATTTTTGTCAATTAGAGAGTTGTTTTCTTTATTTATAGTGTGCGAGTTTTTTAGTTTCCTAGCTTGAGTTAGGTGGCTATTACGATCACCGTTTTTTGGACACGCCAAAATTTTCATCATACATTTTCAGCAACTTTTAAAGAATAAAATTTTTTTTCTGAGATAACTGAACGGTTTTGTTCAAATTTTGGATCTGTATATTAGGCATACGGAAACAAAAAACCACAGGCCAGATTTGGGAAAAAACTTTGGAGCGCCGCCGTAAAGGAATCGAACTTTATTTTTCAAATAGCAACGCAAAATTTCTATTAAACTAAAACTATCCGAAAGACTTTCTTGTTCTGTGTACATACCTAACCTACAAAAATTATGGTACGTTTTATTACAAAAAAAATTGGAAAAAATGTTAAAAACTAAAATTATTTTTGCCAAACCATTGAATATCAATGGCCAAACGGTTATTTTGACTTCGTTAAAATTTTGGCAGTGTTCATTAGACATAAAACTGTCAAAAACTTTTTTTTGTTACATCTGGTTTGAGCTAGGAAACTGTTCATTCAAGAATTTCGCACCTGATCTTCATTTTCACTATGGGGATCTCGTAAACCGGAAGAGAAACAAAGTCGTAAGTAATAAGTAGGTAGGCAAAGTTAAGTAAAATTTGTTGCTAATTAATTGTCGTTTCAAAATTTCTTATAATACTACAAATTGTGAAGTTCTAGCCAAAAAACCTCGAGAATGCGCGAACCGTTTCGTAATTTTCAAGATACTTATCAAAAAATAATTTTCACACACCCTTAGTGATTTTTCTCACCTTTCTACATCAGCTTAAGTCTCTAGATAGAATAAAAAATTGCTAAATAATAATGGGCGATCAAAAATGAGTTGCTGTCGAGTCGCCTTTGGAAGTTTAAGTTAAGTACGATTTCCCATGTAAACAAAAATTCCAAAGGCGACTCGACAGCACTCTTTTTTGATCACATTGTATTTCACTCTGAAATTAATCTGGAATTTTTGCGTTGAAGATCTTCTAAAATTTAGTTCAAATCCGCGGTTCTATAAATTATTGACACCACCATTTCACAAAACACCCAGGTATGAAAGATGTTATGCTTATAATATTGCCAAATATACAACGACCACTCAAATGAATTTAAAAAAAATATGAATAGTGCTACATTTAAAAACCATTTTCAAGGTATTTTGTTACTAAGGCAGTATAATCAGCAGTAGGTAATATCATTGTCTTTCTTTCGTCCATTTTTTTTCTCAATTTCCTTGTATTTTAGTTTTCTTCTTATCGTCATCAATAGCTTCTGCCTTTGTTAATTTAATTTTTCATTCCACCTCCATGTAATGTATTATAATACATAATTATTACTAAGATATTAAGGGTTAAGTGGTAGAGCAGATGTATCACATGTTCATGCTGAACATCTGAACTTCACCCTCTTAGGCTTCTGGCTACAATATAGTTTTTTTTTACCGTTTATATTGCTTTATGTTTTATTTTAGAAGTCTAATAAATGGCACTTTTTATTATTATTATAAGTTGCAATGTATTTCTTAATGCAATAAATCCATGGCTTGCTTAAAATAAGTAACATTTTTCGTTTATTGTCTAGCATAGTGTCAATCAACACGGCCATGGAATTATTTATGGCCATAAGAAATACATTGTATAAACTTCAATGAAAAAATTCAAGATTAATTTCCGAATGAATGAAAGTATTTGGTATCTCAGGATTCTCTACCTCGTGTAAAAATCCAATGCCTATATGGCATCCATAAGAAATAAAAAAGTTGATGTGATGACTTGAAGCCCACAATTTGATTTTGGCATGGTCAGAAAGCTTAGAAAAACTTACCAAGGGTTGTTCAAATTATTTTTTGATATCTTTGAACATAAATGAACGCTAGCGCGCTCTCGGAATTAACATTTTTCGGTTTTTTTGGTCATAATTTCGCTATTTAGATGAAAAAAAAACTCACCCTGTTCAATAATGTTTATTTTATTCCTGCAAGATAAACATGTTTGAGCCAAATTCGCCGCCCTAGGCTCCAGCCTACTCTGCCTGCTGGTAAATCCGCCACTGAATACAACACTTCCACTATTGAAATTTTATGAATTTTCTTACGAAAATCATATTTGCCTGGATTTATTTGGGTTATCCAAAACTGTAAATTTCATTTAAATAGGTCCATGCAAGAGCAAACTTAATTTTCATTCGCATGCGTAAACCCAGTTTTTTTTGTTTCTTTTACTGTATTTTTCTTTAATGCCACCCATCAAAAATTTTGATTTTTTTACATCATTCACACACAACCAAACAAATGGAAAAGGTAGGACAGAATGTATTATTTTCCTAAGCCGTTCCGTTACCCAAAGAATATTAAGAAATGTACTTGAAGGAAAGGACAACACGCCAAAAATACATATTGTTTTTTTTTTATGTCACGAATCAAAATTTTTGATTTTTTACCTCTTTCACACACAAACCAAACAAATAAAAAAGGTGCGATAGAATGTATTATTTTCCCAACCTGTAGGTATTGTTACCCAGAGAAGATTACGAAATGTAGTGGAAGAAAAGGACAACAGGACTCTATTCACACTTTATTAAACAAAACAAACGTAAAACATTGTACCTAAATATCTTAACATCTTGATTATGGAAAGAACAATAGACATGTGCAATATCTAAAATTGTCTTTTATGCATCGTACATCCGTATAACATTTTATTGCCATATTGTTAATACTACACACAAAAAACAGTATAATACACAAAACATTTTAATAAATATAAATATGTGGCTGTTACCCATTCCAAATGATATGAGCGTGTGGAATAGGGATATGCTAAAGATTGAGCAGTTTCGCTAATTCAACTAAGGTTTGAGCAATCAACAAAAACAGGTAAAGAGCAAGGAGTTTTCAAAAAGATATGTAACGTGATATGATTTCCTTTAAGTATGAGTAACAGCATGCAGCTAGTGCTAATGCCACTGGGACAGTCGTGTTGTGTTCCATAAGCAAAAAGCTCTAATTGTAGCAATACATAGATATTTATATAAATCTAACTAATGCATTTTACTATATCCTTACTACATACAAACATAATCTATGCACCATAGCAAAGTTAAAAATTTACCCTGAAATATGTCACCAATACAAGTATAATCAATTTCAATTTACATTGTTTTATCATATTTTTACATTCTTTCTGTTCCAATGAAAAATTAGTTAAAACGTTTGGAACATATGAAAAATTCTCTTCTAGTAAGAGGGTAATCATACGTAATTTTCAAAGGGTTCCTGCAATTTTCACAAAACCCTGAGAGATTGAACACTAAGAGATGTTTTCAAAGTTCCGTAAACGAAGTGTTTTCAAAACGAAAATAATCACACTGTTATCCGATATTTCACGTCTGAAAGACATATTTGAATTTCTCATTACAGTGCTAATTACATAATCTCTTATATATATTACAGACCCTGTTTCAATAAAGGCTTTAAACGATAGATCATTTTAGTTGATTGCAAGTTGGGATTGAAGAAAATTAAGGCTAGTACGTTAGCCATCGGGATATCTCTTTGGGTGATTATAATTTATGCCAGATGCGGCAGTACTCTCCGTCTCCTGGGAGACTAAGTGCAAAATGTAAATATCTTATTAGCAGCACAAGTTTTTTTTTTTTGTATACTATCAAATGTATATTGGAAGTGCTCGTCGTAGCACTACCATAGACACGAAGCTAACAATTGATTGCCTGCACAACACGACAATTATGAGATAGCTTGACATTAAGGCCCCTGCTAACTCACTACTCGAACTATACGAGTCAGGGCAAGCCGACACACAGTAACTACCCCCCTCTCGTTATGATTGAGTATTGCAAATCTACCTGATAAGCTTGCTTCTGTTTCCTAGTTTCACTTTTCTATAAACTAGCCTAAAGTTTACGACCATTCAGCCATAACAATTTATTTAACATGTACCTACAATTATTATATATTCAAAAATTATATGCGATTTAGTAATGCATTGCATTGATGTATTCGAAATGTTGTACATTCGCTAGTTTTCCATCAAATTTTTGGCACTATTTAAAATGCTATATCATAAGAACACTCAACACAAAGGGATAACAATAGATTGTCCCTAATTATAGTCAAACGTTTAGATCGAATAATGAATGACACCAATAACTGTGAGAACATTAAAAATGTCGGTAAAGAACAAGACTAGAATATATTTTTATCACTACTTTCTATGTAACAAGCCAGTGCTAATTTTCAAAAGAAGTTGAATTGTGGATTAATAAATAAAAGTGTGTTGGTAAGACAAAAATCGCATTTGCAATATTCGAGAATTAACACAAAAGATTCAGTCGATTACTACTGAAACTATCAATGTTTAAAGAAAGATCGTTTCTGCATACATAGTGTGTACAAAGTTTCTCAATCCTTCACACAAAATTTATGTATGTTAAAAAATGATAAATTTTGTGCCACACTGTGTAACACAAATGAGAAGGTGTAATACGCAAATGTTCCACTAGATTTAAGAGTATGTTATTTACATCAACAAAAATACCTTTTAATTATGATACGTTATAAATTTGACTTCTTTTTTAATGTTTTGTACAAAAAATTTCAGCAATTTTTTCGCGATCACGCCTTAATAAATAAAAACTCTTATACTAACTTAGCGTTGTATTTAAATACAACGTTATTACAATAATGTGATCACAGTATGCTACACAGGGAACTGCAATAGATGCCGTTTTGTTTTAACATCGTTTAAAGCATCCTCTGAAATATAGAAAAAGGGGAAATTCACGAGTGATGTGAGCATTTGGTCACAATAGATTTGGCACAAAACTGAAATTTGGAAGAATAGTTAAATCACTTAAAAAATACTGAATACACAGCCCACTATTAACAAAATATTCCAAACATACCATTGTATTAAAATATGCGACTAATAACTAGTTATGATCACAAAATACAGTCAGTGATGACGATTGCACGGCTTACCTTTTGACAACTGTGAATAAAAAGGTTCTGGTCATGACATTTAACTCCGTTCCTATGTTAAATTTAGAAACACTTCTTAATACAAAATACTTAGTTAATGTTAAAACTACAACTAGATTTCTTGAGCAATTTTCCTTCATAATATCTTAAACTACTTAAATTTGATGGTTAATACTTAACTACGATTACAAGCCGTGCCTAAATCCCCATCAAATATTGCTCAGATCACTCCAACAACATGATGTACAGTAATAAAACTTTTAACAATTGAACAATAACAAAATGTAATAAATAACTGGTTCGAACAAATAAATTCCTTAAATTACATATAACGATTTAACTAATAAATATTAAAATACTGTTATTTGAACACGCTACCTTCTATATTAAAAAAAAAAAGATAAAAACAAAAACATTCGATCAAGCAACTTCAACAGTCCAATGCAAAAATCTACCATGGTACTAATTTTAAAACGTAGTAAATATGACAATATCTAAATATTATATATAAATACGCTTATATAAAAAATTAAAATTAACAAATCTTTGGCTTGTTCCCATTACCAATCTTGTATTTAATTATCCATCATAATATGACAATATTGTCAGTGTTTGTAAATTTTCACAGATCATAATATATCATTGGTTGGCTTGAGTTACCTGTAAGGTTGTACATGTGGGGCATCTGCGACTGATAGCAAACCTCCCCGAACCAAGGCAAGCCTAGTTAATGAATCGGAGCTTTTACAATGTGATTTGGAGCAATGTAATGGTAACCTGGCATTGGTAATCCAGCAGTTTCCATCGATATCCTGGTAAAATACAAAGACGGTTAGAATTTCGTTATAACGGCATGTTAAAAGTGCATAAAAAGTGCATTTAAAACATTGACTACAATCAATATGATGGCAGAGCATGAACCGTTTGTCATCAGCTAAGGAAAAAGTTGCTAGAGATTTCAGGCATAAATTTTTTCATTAAACTGGAAGATTTTTGAGGTCAGACAATAAGGTTTGAAAAGTAGTATGCTGGATTATTTTGAAAAAAAATTGAGGATTCTCAAAGGAAAAGCAACAATCTCGTCAAATTACTTGTAAAGAGAAATGCACTATATAGGAGTTCAATTAAAACTACTTTGTTCTCTCAAAAAAATTGTGAACACGCCATCATACTGTCTAAACAAAAAAACAAGAAAAGACAACCCGTATTCTCATTCCTTTTATCAACCATGTAAAGTGAAATAAACTTAAAAAGGCTTTGGGTGAAGATTTTGGAACGAAGTGGACAGCTCTGGAGATAAAATGAAGGAGAATGCGGATATCAAAAGCAGAATATGGATTTTTAAATGCACTGTGTTATATGCAGAAGGTTAACGGGGGGGTCTTGGAGTCTTTCAAAGATTTTTTTTGGATACCACTTAAGTGTACTCAACCTTTGTTGCTATTTAAACTACAATTAAGTGGCAATCAAGGGGTATTTGCATATTCAACTATTTGTCAGTTAATTGAATATACAACGGGCCGTGGGGACTGATGGATGGTCAAGCTTACCAGGATCCCAGGATTGTGATCTTCTTGCCTGGATAAGTGATAAGGCACTGGTCTGTTAATGTAGCAGGCATAGGAGATGGAGCACACAAACCATGTTACTAATTCTCACATTTTTTTAGATTTGTATATCGTAATGGCCCTAACTTGGATACCTACTACTAAAAAAATTAAGTATTTTTGCATCGAAAAGACAAAAAACCAATTACACATATCAATGTATTAATTTCAATAGAATACACTTATATAGCACACTAATAATATAAGTAAACACTTCTAAAATAGAAGCTTCTTGTACACATTGCATTATTTAAACTCAGTGTCAAATTTGCATTATAAATACCTAGCTAAACATTGAAACCTACCAATAGCGAAAACTGCTATCGTTACGAATCAAAATTTTGAACTTGATATGTCAAAATAAATGCTGACTAATGTATAATTTTGTATAAAACTAAGTTACGTTACACAAATAACTCCTACAGCTACTTTTTGGATATAAAAACAAATCTATCGGTTGAAAGAGTAACACCAAAAAAAATGGTGCAACATAAATCAAGTAAACATATACGATAAACATAAAAATAAATTATAGTAGACACAATAAAATGTGAAAAATAAAATAAAAATTAAAATAAAAATGAATCCCAATGTAGAAAAAATAAGGTATAATATAAACTTAATTAATGATTTTAGTAAGGATTAAACTTGTTGCGTTCACTCTTGAGTTTGGAGCCCTCGGAAGGGCCACCGCCACCTCCGGGAGAACGAAGGCGAGGAGCGTAGTTCTTGTGTGTGCGATGGACGCCAGTGGTCTGAACAGGGGGAGCGCCACCCTGTGCGCCCAACAACTCGGTAAGACCACCTAACGCGCTGAGACTAGTCAGGGCGTTAAGCGCTCCCGGTTTTGTGAGAAGTTGGGCCAAAGGAATGGCGCTAGCCAAAGGATTGGCAGCAGTGGATGACTGGCTGGACCCACCAGTGCTAGGAGAGTTTTGGGCCTCAAGGTTAGCTTTCTGCAGCTCAACACTAAGGAAACACATAGAAAAAAGGATTACAGTGATTTGTGGTGTATAGGTTTCTTTTTTTTTATATTAATTGGACACCACCAGCTGGAATCAGGCATAAACTGAGGCACTATCATTAAAGTAACTTAAAATCTTCCATACTCTATTAAATAAGTTTTGTAAATGGAGAGATTTTAGTCTTCAGGAGGTGGATTGGGAAATAACCACATTTACCATGTAATGGTGTAATGAGAATTTCATATTTGATTCTTATTTTGAAAGGACAAATTTAAAATGGCACCAGAACACATTTAATATGGTAGAAGACTTCCGAATTTATTGGTTTATTGGTTATAGCGACAATTTCCCAGTGTGATATGTTCGTCACATGGAAGGCAAAGAAAAAACTTGAAAACAAATTCTTTAATTTCACAAGAGCCAAAAGTCTTCTACCTGTCAGTTTCCGTACCATATGCTTATGTCACTTGCAAATCTCGATGAAAAGAAATTAAAAAAATTCATTCTATATCAATAGTGGCATTGAAATACTAACCTTAGTATGTCAAAACAATGTGCAACAGCATTTTTTATTCTTACAAACCAGAACAGAAATTTTGAGGTTATCCACTATGCTGTGTTGCCAATTCTCCATTCGGTATTAATCTTGTTAGAGTAAAACAAAAGCACACTATAATTAACTAGTAGTATTACAGTTTCATCTGCATAAAATGGCAACATGGCATAGCCTCCAACCCTGCCATAGAAATCTGTACTTTTTAGTTCTGAAAACCTTCTCTTTGGTATGGCAGGTGTAACCAGAATAAGATAGAATGTAGTCTTAAGTCGCATTTCATTTGTGAGCAGAAATACCAAGATAATAATTTAAAAACAAACGAAAAAGGGCATCTACTACAAATGTTACGCATGCCTGCACAGAATACGTATTTACACTCACAAAGGCAACAATTCTTACCTCATATTAATCAAATATTGTGCCAACGCGACCGAATCCGGATTACCAGATATTGTTATTGTACGATCGGTCACGCCGTTCTCGCGATCGTCGCAATTAGATATGCGAATCATCGCCCCCGATATCTGACGTATTTCGGCGATCTTGGTGCCGCCCTTTCCGATAATGCAGCCGATCAGTTCGTTCGGCACGGTCATCTCGTGAGTTTGAGAATTGGAATTTTGCTGGTTTCGCGAGTTGGCCGTTCGTAATTGTGAACCGGCTAAAGCTGCCAAAGCTGAGGAATTTTTAGTTTCGTTACCTAATGGAGGTGGAGGGGATCGTGGGGTTTACGTACCTGCTGGATTTAATCCCCCCGTGTTGGCTGGCGTCAGGCCTCCAATGCCCAATGCGGCTAGTCCGGCCAATGGACTTTTACTGAGTGCTGTAATCTGTAACAATGTTGTCAGTATTGTAGCGAGTAATTAGGTTTTTCATTCTGCATAGCAAGGAGACACTATCACCATTACATTTGAGCTGTTTCAATTATTTCATCATAAACAAAATATATCAATTTCAGAGTGTTATGCAGAGGATTTTAGTTACTGTTGATTAATTGTAGGTACACATTTATTTTATAGTGCTTGGAGTGTTTGTTGGATAGCTAATTTTTCCCACTCAACCCAATACAATCAATTTTGATGTACTATCTGAACACATAGCATTGGCAACACTGCACTAACTTTGCAGATTAATGCCTAGTCAAGTGCAATGTTGTTTATGTTCTGAAAAAGTAAAAAAATTCATTAAGCCGCTTGTGAACAAGAGGCGAAGAGTGCACTTTCAAATTTGTTTTTCGATTTTAATAGCCCTTATGGACATTTAGACATGGAGATTGGTAAATAGATGAGAAGAAACAGTATAAAAATCATATCGAAATTGTTCGTTGGTTTAATGTGCATTAATAAAGCAAAAGTAGTTTTGTATATACAAGGTGGTTCAAATTTGTAGCTCACCCTAAGCTTAAATGGGGACGAAGAAGACCCTTTTGGTGACTAAAAAACGCATTTGAAATTTAGGAAAAATCTTTAAAAATAAGCAAGATATCACTGAAAAACTGAAAATGTCAAAATTTGTTTTCATTTTTCCTAGCTACGCTCGGAAACGAACTGTTCCCCTTAGTACCTTCCATGGGTATTTTTTCGGACAATCTGAGTCCTTGGAAAGTGAATGCGATTTACTCGAAACTCGCAAGTGATAAACATTTTGGTTTAGCACCATCAAAAAGCTGAGAACTATTTATTTTATTTTGCCTTTATTTTTGAGTGGGCGGGATTTCAGCCAGTTCACTTGATATCTTTTAAAATAAATGAACGCATCTACATAAAATTCTGCAATTCTTTGCCCATTTAAGCGACTTTGTATCTCTTACAGTTTACAGAATCCCCATACTAAACATTGGTAAAAACTCACCCTGTATATAAACCTATAAATATACTGGTACCATTACAATAGGTAGATACATACTTACACTGACTTTATTATCCTCTGAAACTTTTGACAATATTGTACAGGGTGTACACAAAATCAGAAAGTTGAAGCAAGCATATTTTTGGCAAATCTTAAACAGGACACAATGTCGTATACATAAATGTAATATTTATGAAATTTCTTAGCCTGTTCCCTAATTTCTCTTGAAATCAACTAAAAATTCACATTCCAATTAATAATAATAATAATAATAATAATGTTTATTCCCACAAAAACAACTAATAGGAAAACAAAAATAAAATAAATAAAGAAAATAAGAATAATGTGGGAATTGAAGAAATATTGGCTTAGTCAGCCATGGAAACAATCCATCATCATGTAAAGTGCACTGGAGCTCAAAATGAACTGATTTAGCATATAATAATTATTTAAATAACAATAGACAGTGCCCTCTCTCTCGTCCGATTGGTAGTCTCTTGTAAAAAATTTTCGAATTGAATTTTGATATTCTGAGAGCACCCCTGTTTGGTTGGAAACTAATTTGTGACATTCAAAAAATCAAGGGTGCCTATGAAACTTTCAACAAAAGTTTTTTGCATACCAGTGGGGCGAGATACGCACAAATGTTTGATTAAGAAAAGTTGTTCAGAATGAAAAACTGAGTGAACATGCAAAATTTCAAAGTCCTAAGTCTACTGTGATTTTTTTTAGGAAATCCAAAAATATGTTATTATATTTTGAACAGTTTTTTTCAGTAACATTTTTGGGATTTCCTAAAAAATCCAAATAAAAAATAAAAACCTAAAAAAATCAAAGCAGGCCTAGGACATTTTGCATGTTTAATACCTAAGTTTTTCATTCTCTACAACTTTTCTCAATTACATTTGTGCGTATCTGATGTGCTAAAAACATTTTTTTGTAAATTTCAAAGGCACCCTTGATTTTTCTAAACTAAATTTTTTTGTCTTTTAGAAGATACAACCAAACAATGGGGGGACACTGTACGTATTTTAATTATTACAATATTTGGTATCCGTGTTAAATAGAGGGCGCCACCTACAGTACAAAAAGTTTGTTAAGATTGTTGATGAAGGACTCCATAGTGTTTGAGTGACTGTTTAATGGAAAAATGAAGTGAATTGAGACTCCAACAGTTTTTATTATTTTTTATTATTTATATAATAAGCACTCCTCGTATATTAGGATAAAATGACCTATTTTGACACCTTTAACTTGCACCCTGATAAAGATGGAACCAAAGCCCTCACGCTCAAATCATACAACACTTCCATTCGAAATTATTTCACGTACTTTGAGGTTAAAAATTTTTACATGCTTTTTAAGTGCGATCGCCATCTTGAATTTTTTCAATGGTTAAGTCATATATTTTGTTCTCTTTCTTACTAAACCATTTAACTCCATACATGTTTACGGAAGTAAGAGAGAGAAAAAAAATTGCTTCTAAGCTGTATCACGTGACTTATACTACCATTAAAAAAATTCAAGATGGCGGTCATAGTCAAAAACTTGAACACTTACAGAATAAGTGCTTCCACGTTGAAATGACGTTCAGTCACAATTTAATGTGTGCCAGAATGGTCTAGCTAATGGCTAGGATACCCAGCTTGTAATCGGGCGGCTCAGGTTTGATTCTTTGATATGAAATTTTTTTTCACAAAAATGCATACGCAATTTTGTAGGTTTAAGATTGTCTCCTCACATTTTTTTAACAGCAAACTTACACAAAACACAACGCGCATGCGCAAATGAACGCAGTTCCTCTCTCTAAGTGCTAGTCTCAAAAACCATTCAAATGGAAGCGTTCTAATTTGAATTCCAGAGGGTCAAACTCTAAACCCAAGTTTTGGCAACACTGTCAGAACTAGTTCATAAGAAACGTGGAAAGACAAGTCCTGGAGCTTGCACCAGGACAGCTCACTTGCCCTTCATGCGCTGTCTGTGAAGCGTTATTTAGGTGCTAGAGGCACTCCAGTGCTCGAACACGCGCCACACTCGTCTGCCTTTTTCTTGTTTCCAAAGATGGAACCCAGTTTGAGTCGATGGAAGAGGTAAAGCGGAATATAGATATATTTCATACATATAGCCTACAGCCAGTAAATCTGTGCTAACATATGTGAGAGATAGCCAACTGTACGATACCAATCATGCGGCCTTCCACTGGCGTGGCGAATGCGGAATAAGCCAGAAGACTTTGGAGACATTGTTATGCATGTTTCCGAATGAAAAAGAATGTTCTTCATTACCCAACTTTGAAAGCGGCCGCCATCTTGAATTTGTTTAAATGAAAACATGGGTCATGCAACACACCTTTGGAAACAAGTCTTGTTTTCTCTTTCTAGCGATGGAAAACGAAAAAATTAAATTTTTATAATCTCATAAGTAAAGAAACAAGGTTTTCCTACTGAAATGGTTCGATATATATTGATTTGCAGTTTGGAGGACTTAAAACAGCGCATATTTCGGAATGAAACAGAAATTTAAATGACCCAAATTGTCATTTAAAAAAATTCAAGATGGAACCCGCCTTCAAAATTCGAGCAATAAAAAAATTTATTTTTCATTCCCAATCATGTATAACAGGTGGGGCTATTAATTTTGAAAGAATCTAAGAAGTATATTACCAGACGACTAGGGGGCGGTAGCTATTTTTTTGTTCCTCAGGAGGGCGAAGCTTCAGAAAAGGTTGGAAATCTATGGTACTCTTCTATGTACACGAGATTAGTAAAACATACAATTATAAAACGCGCAGGGGAGTTTGGTTAAATCAAAGGGGGTTAATTCTCTCATTCGTCCTCTCAGTTAAAATAGTCAAGTAAATAAATCAATATATTATTATAGAACATGAGGATCTATAATGGGTCCCCCTCTATTCAATGACTTACCTCAAAAACAGTTGACGTTCTGCTTAGGTTGATAGCGCATACTTACATACAGACACATAAAAACTTGAAATTATTTGACAAGGATAGAAAAAATATATTACTGATTATACAGGATGGCCAACTAAGAATGCGAGGTACTGTATCTGAGAATCTATCCATCGTAGGGGCTTGCGGTAAAAAAATTTATTACTAAAACGGCCACGAGCAAAACCTGGAAAATATTTTTAAGTTACCTAAATGACCGCTAGGGGGCGTAACTGCAATCTGGAATCTAAAAAAGTGATGTTTCTGTGAATTCCGCTATATTAACTTAACAAAAAAATGTCCGGTCCGCTCTAAAAATGAAGTGGTGGGGGGGGGGGGTGTATTCGAAGGTTTCCGTCAAGAACACCCTGTATCTTAGAAACGGCTGAGCCGATTTAAACAAACTCGGGTTGTTAGTTTCACATATCACCGCTTGAGGGCTTTTTTCGACATTCCGACAGAAATGGTTAATTTTCTCAAAAAAAATTAAATGCATTGGTTCGCGACAATTAAAAAATCTATCAAGTCATCTAAAAATCCAATATGGCGCCCATTTCACTTTAGGAAGGTGGTAAATGTTCCTCAAAAGTGGCCATCTTGAATTTTTTTTGACATCAATTCTAAATTAAGCGCATCAAAGACAGTCACTTTTATACAAAACTTTTTTTTATATCTCTTATACTTTCGATGAAGACATTCAAGGAAATGACCAATTTTAGTTTTTTTGAATTTACGTCGAACCTATGCGACATTTTGAATTTCCATAAGAAAATTTTAAATAAGCATCCAAAACTGCAAAACATTGCCCATTTAACCAATTCTCTATCTTTAATAACAAAGTTACCCATGCAATCCCACGTGATCTGGGACACACTGTATATATATTTTTTATATCGTGATGGCCAGCATTTCGAGCATTTACGGCGGCATTAAAAGCTTCCTTTTTTAAATCAATCCACCTTAGGGCCACAAATTATATAATAAAAATAATTCCGGAAAAATTAGCTTAAAAAAATAAAATTTTGAGGGTATAAAATTTTCTTTGGCCTAAATTTTAGGTTAGGAACAAGATATCGAGATGGGGTTTTCGCGAGCTTATTTAGGCATCATTTAGCTACTTTTTCATGAAAAAAAAAATCATACCAACGCATTTAATTTTTTTGAGAAAATTAACCATTTCTGTCGGAATGTCGAAAAAAGCCCTCAAGTGGCGATATGTGAAACTAACAAAACTTCAAATAATATAATATTTGTAGCCGAAGAATAACCCTTTTCAATTAACGCAAGTTGTTAAAATCGGCTCAGTCGTTTCGAAGATACAGGGTGTTCTTTACGGAAACCTTTGAATACCCCCCACCACTTCATTTTTAGAGATACGGGAAAAATTGTCAAACAAAAAAGGTTCAAATTAACGTCGTCTTCAAAGACCGGACATTTTTTTGTTAGGTTAATATAGCGGAATTCACAGAGAAATCACTTTTTTAAATTTCAGATTGCAGTTACGCCCCCTAGCGGCCATTTCAGAAACTTAAAAATATTTTCCAGGTTTTTCTCGTGGCCGTTTTAGTAATAAATTTTTTTACCGCAAGCCTCTACGATGGACAGGTTCCCAGATACAGTACCTCGCATTCTTATTTGGCCACCCTGTACAGGTAATGTAAGAGATAATAATAAAATTACAACGCCTAGTAATTAAAGGAACCGTGAAGCAGTGTTTCTCAGAATGTTGCTTTTACTTACACTAAGATACTAGTGAACAGAGTAATAGAGGATAACCACTGTTGCATTGTTGTACCTTAATTTGCAATTCTGTCTTACTCTTTCCCCAAAAAATAGTTTTCAAATCTCAAAACCTAAAGTGTTTTGTCACAAAGCAAGTTCCTTCACTTGTGCTAGTAAATACCTAGGCAAATCACAAGACCAATTGGCACTCAATGTTATCATCACACGAAACAATTTGCATAAGATTTTCACAGAAAACTGTGACTCGACTGGTACAGCCTCTAAGATGCTACACTAAGAAGGAAAGTCAGTCAGTTGAGACATTACGAGAAATGGAAAATCCAGGTCACACATGGCGAACACCTCCTCCAGTACCACCCTTAAGACTGTCTTGAATGTGGGGTGGGCTTAGGATGTGAGGAGCAGACAACTGTAAGCACATGGTCATGACCTTTTGGCATCAGTGGTGTTGATTGCTTCACTTTTGTCGAACAGCTTTTTTGCTATGAATTGAATGAATAAAAAAAAACATTAAATGATTGCAAAAATACTACAAAATTGTCACAATTTTAACATTTTAGATGCTAGAAGTACACCCTGTATAATGGCAGTTATCCAATTGTACAAATACGCACAATTTGTAAAGATATTTGGAAGACATTTAACCATACTATTTGCAAAAAAAAAGAAATACACAAATACCATATACCTTCAGCATTGCATGTTGATAACCTAGGTGTCTATGTCACCACTCCTCTACGAGGTGCTTTTATATTTTCTGAGATATTCATTTATTGTCCATTTCTTATGAATCAAAAACATGACATTCTTTATTCAAAATATTTAAAAAAAAATACACGTCCAACATGGATCATACCAAATCACCAAAAAAATCCTTTCACTAACATATGTAAACAGTAGGGCTCAACTAATTTAATATGCATATGACCGCTGTGGTCACTGTTGTTTTTTTTAAATGTACAGCTACCCATTTTATTATTGTTAATATAATTGAGCCAATTATTTGCACACATGCCACACCGATTATTGAGTGTGGAACAGAACACTGAACCATTCCCATACATCTTTTCCATAAATCAATCGTATGGTCCTCCCTCATTTGCATGCATGTGCAACGATTTGCAAATTTAAAATGAAAACGTACAAGTACTTGTATGAATGAATATACGAAGAAGCTATGCTCGAACTCGTTAGCAAAGCAGATCACGAACAATATTATAGTATATTCCTAATTTGTTACAAAGCGAATAATAATACATGCATCCTAGATAATTCAGCTCGTTAGTGTAGTGTATACTTTATGCAGAATACAGAAAAACTGAGGCACGCTAACACAAATTTATTCCGAGGTAGATCTACACATGCGAAAAAATAGGATGTAATAAGGGTGTTGTTAGCCGACGGGGGGGTACGTCACAAAAGCGTTGGTAAACGTTTGTAATGGATAAACAGTAGGTTTTTGTAATGATGGGGGAGCACCAATACGATAAACTTACATCTGGCATAAGATGTGTGGGTGGCAAGGCGGCCTGCAAATGTCCGTTCTTGAGTGGTTCGAGTTGCATGAGGGGCGCTGTGGGCGCCACTGCACCAGCCAACGGGTGGCCGAGATGCAAGGGGGGAACAAGGGGAGGTAATATCGAATTACTTACATCTGCATGGGCAGGAACGGCGTAGTTGCCTTGAATGGTATAGGCTTGCCCGCCAGCCAGGATCACAGGGCCACCGACTTGGGGTTTAGGGCGGTAGGGTATGGTTGCTCCTTTGGGAGGGGACTGCAAAAGTAACAAATAAAATTCGATTCGCACGCACAAATTCAAATAATTACCTCGAGCATAACGTTGCAGATATGGTAAATACACTGTGTAATTGCCTCAGCAGTACCAGAAATTGTGACCGCTCGCTCTGTGGAATTTGGAAGCATTTCTGACGCAACTTGAATAGATGCTCCTGTAACTTCACGAATCTCTTTAATTTTAGAACCCCCTTTTCCAATAAGGGATCCACACTGACTGGCAGGGACGATCAAACGTAAGGTGATTGGAGGTCGTGGTACGCCGCTACCACCACTGTTTATTTCCTGGAACTGGGAGCACCACTGAGGGAGTCCACAACAATACATTGCCACATTAAGAAGTGCACAAATACATACTAGACAGGACTATTACTAGGGACTAAACAATGATTGTCAATACTACTATTTCATTCATTAAAGCAAGCAAGGATGGATACCAAATTGTTAATCACTTTACACAATTTAATTTGCAACAATTCAATGCGTGCTTACCTCCTCAAACTTTTTGCAAATCAGTGTAAACGCCTTAAAAATTGCACTTGTTGATCCGGTCACTGTGACAATACGCTCGGGACACGATCCATCGGATATGTTTATTTTTGCTCCGGACTGAAACAAAAATCACTTCAAAAATGGAGCCAATCGTAAAGTCGATTGAAATAAATCAACAGGTGAAAATTCAGCTCTCATAATCAAGGCACACAGAGCCACTGGCAGTAGTAGTAAACATAAGACCGCTGTCGCCTTACTCGGCGCTCGCCGATACCACTACACGCCATCTCTAGCGATTGTTTTGTCATCATTAGAAAGTGAAATAATTCTACTTTAGTAAACAAAGTAAAACAAAAGAGTAAACGTGTCCTATCACTTAATATACTTTACCTCTTCTCGAAATCGTTTCACTATTTCTCCTTTTTTACCGATGATGCTACCAACTTCCTGTAAATATAGACACATTAATATCAAATCATAATCAGGTGTGAACTCTTGATCTATTTCTGAATCTTTTCTAAATATAGAAAGTACCGCAATCCATTGGGCTCGTGTGTTAGAGAGAGAACGCATGATTTTTGCCCAAAAATGGCGGAAGTTACCAGAATCTAGTAACTTTAATGTTAGGGATTGTTCCACCTGTTTGGAGATATCTGTATATATTTTTATAAAACATGACAGTACTATGAAGTTAGGTTATAAAAAATGACAGCTATTCAGATTTTATTTGTCAATTTTTTTAAGTTGGCAGAAAATTTGCCCAAAAATGGCGGATGATTGCGGTACTTTCTATATCTAGTGACTTTAACTTAACCATTAATCGTACGCCCTCTAGCGGCGAAGCTAGAAATTTGAAAATAATTTCCAGCGATTTTTCTTGGCCCTTTTTGTTGACAAATTTTTTTCCCGAAGCTGTGCAATTAACGGATCCATAGATATGGTCTTTAACCATTATCAATGGGGCACTCTGTACTGGTAATTTATGACCCGATCGCCTAGGATCTCAATCAACTGACATGCTTCAACTGTTCAAGGCACTGAACTTTATTGACAATTTGTTCCACTATAGCAGATTATACAGGGTGTTTCAAAATTCGCGCACACGGACTGTGGGATGGTGTCATAGAACGAAAACCGAATAAAAAGTTCCTCTAAGTACCAGAGACTTGCTGAAACTTGATTACTAACAGACGGCGGATATTTTCAACAACTGTTGTAATTACGTACTCGTCATAATTATAGTTTATTTTGAACCTTCTTTTGTTTTTAAAAATGTGTTATTATTAAGTTTAACCAGTGGCGCAGGGTAGGGGGGGCGGAGATTTTTAAAAGCACGGTAGCTCGAAAAATAGCGATCTGATGGAAAACTGGTAGAGGATCTTTTTGTTCAGTTTTTGTCGAACAAATTCTGCAGTAAAGTTTGTATTAAAGAATAACTGAAAGTCAGATCACTCTCTTTAGAGATTTGAAAAATTCCCTTAACGATCAAAGTGATCCTGAACAAAGAGACAGACAGACAAATCAAGGTTGGTATAAATTAATAAAAAAGTCTAAGAATTAATTCAAACTTTTTCCAATGCATTATCTATTATTATTATGAACTCGAAATTCAAATATAAGATAGCATTATGGCAACTGAATAATAAACATCTGACAATCGTGCAATGTCTAAAACACATGTACATCGAAAAACTGTTTTTATGTTTTTCGCGATTTTCTTTTTCTCTAACAAATTTTTTTTTTATAAAAATATTTTCCGGGTTTTCTCGGAAAATTTGAGGTTAAGTAAGTGTAAAAAACGCAGATACAAAAGTTACTCATTTTTTTATTCCCCATATTTTCCCTTTAAAATAAATAGTTTTGCAACAAACTGCAAAATACCACTTTCCATTCCTTTCAACCACAAAAAACCCAGTTTGGATCGGGAACTAATTTTTTTGTCAAAAAATATATAGCCTGGACTAAAACTTATTTTATTAACATGTGGGAAATGAGTGAACCAGAAAATGATCAGATTTGGAAATATTTTGAGTGCAATAAACAAAATTCAACCAATAAAAAGGCAGTATGCAGAGCATGCGGCAAAACATTGCAAGCTATGGTCAGCCACGTGCAAAAATACAAAAATAGTTTGTTCCTGAAGAAGCAAATACAATTATACAAGATATTAGTGAAACAGGATCCTCTAAAGTTGAAGAGAAAATGTGCAATAAAAAGAAAAATAGTGAATTAACAAAAAAAAATTTTTTTTTACTTTTTTTAAATAAAATTCACAACTTATTTGAACCCTAAGACAATATATAAAACATTTTTAGAAAATCACAGACTACTAACTGAATGTTCCTAAGCCAAGCCTAAAGTGAAGATGTCACTTTTGACGCATCACCGCATACTTACAAAATTTAAAATAAAATAAAGAAAAAGTAATCAAAAAGCAAAAACAAAAAAATTTTTGAGTTGGCATCACACTCCATAAACAAGATCATAGCGAAAATTGGTAAAACGCGGTTAAAATTGCTTTAAATACGTTTATTTTACCAACGTTCTTACTTACCCCCCATCCCAATATCATGAGGTTAATAAGTCGCTACATTTTATGGTTGTCTTATGCTGATGTTCTTTGGGGACGAGATAAAACGAATGTTAAAAAAATTCGTTCAGAATGAAAAACTGAGTAAACATGCAGCATTTCCAAGTCCTAAACCTATGTACTATCTTTTAGGAAACCCGAAAATTGTTACTAAAAAAAAACTGTTCTAAATAAAATGTGATGATGTTTTGGTATTTTATTTACAATATTTCATGTAGGTAAATTGAGGATCCAAATAAAGAAGTGTTCCTATTGGCTTACATGGTTATTACATTCTATTTTGAAGTTTTTTTTAAGGAACATTTTTCGGATCTCCTCAAAAAATCGAGTTAAAAAATAAAAACATCAAAAAAATTAAAGTAGGCAATGCAAAGAACCTTTTTTTTAATTTCAAAAGCACCCTTGATTTTTCAAAATTATGTCACAAATTAATTTCCCGAGTAATTTCCTGAAGAAATTTTGCATCTGGAATATAGCTTTTGAAAAAGGGTACAGCTAATTAAAAACGCATTCAAATTGCCGAAACGAAAAAAGAACACGATTGCTTGCTTAATCTTCTATCGAACTAAATCGTTTTTTTTTTTTTGTATTTGCGACATTTTGAGAATGAGAAATTAAATGACTCACTAGTCGGCGGGGGATCCTTTTTGATCTGAAGGACCAGTTTTCAAATGAGTACAACTTTTGTTTGGAAAGAGAGTTTAAAAAACGGTATAATAATTTTGTTCCTTAACCAATCAGGTATGTAAACAACAAATTTTCTCAATTTTCGGTGTCAGGTCAAAAATAGCAGTGCAGTTTTTTCGAATTTTCAAGCAACTAATTTCAGATTCGTGATTTTCATTTTCAAAAACCACACTGTATCTTTTATTGTTACGGACATCCCAATGGTGAGGCACGAATTTGAACTACCCTGTATTAATTTCAATTTTTTTATTGTTTTCGATTCAACTGGAAAATGTACCTATTCATTTTTTTTTATTTAAAAAAATTAGGATTTCGACGAAGAAAATAATTTATTCAAAATTAGTATTTAAAGACCAAAAAAATAATATAAATTCTTGACCTGGATAACAAAAAGATAGGAATTTCACAAATACGTTAGATGCACCATTTGAGTATTTAAGAACAGAACCATTTAACAGCTTTTCCAATGACTTAAATTACAAAAATTGTTATTACCTAGACAATAAACAACTCAATGTAACCAAAAAAGAAACATTTATTGTTAATTAAATCAACATTTTCAAGAATCTTCTAGATGCCACTTTAAAAATTGCCTTCAAAAATATTCCTGGAAAAAATTCTCAAGAAATTTCTTATTCAAACATAAAAATAAAGGGAAATAAAATTTTAAAAATTAATACAAACCTGAGAAATATTTTTTTGAGAATATACTTGAGTTTCTATAGGAACCTTCATGGAAACGTTTTGAGTAATTTTTGAAAAACCTTTTAACCGATAATTTTACTTTTTGGGCCCATTAAAAATCTTCTAGGAACTTGACTTTCTGCAAATCCTTTCCCAATGTTCTTAGTAATTTGTACCAATCAGATTTATTTTTCCCAGAAAATGGGCATTACTTTCATAACTCACCCTGTATATTGCAAGAAAAAGAAATGATATTTATAATCAATAAGTTTGTTGGTATGATATGCAGAATCAGCAGTATTTGAAACTTAGGGTGGTTTTACATCCACCTGTGGATACGTCAATCCGTTAAGATTCTTATTGGTTAATAATTTGGCCACTCGAACATTAAGGTAAACCAAATCTCTTACTTATGACATCATTTTTTAACATATCAAGGAATATCGAGTAGTTACTCCCTAAAGCATCTCTAAATTGATCATATAAAAAAATATGTGGTAATCAAAACAAGTTTGTTTAACTAATTTAAATATTTAAAAACGTAAAATAGCACACAAGAATATCATAATACAAAAGCCAGCAGGTGTCATCTTCCAATTACTGCAAAATCTCAATGAAAGATACTGCTTTAAAAACAAAACAAAGTCACATTTGAATGTGAAACATAAAAAAACATGTTTTTCATCCAGCCCTGGTCAGATAAATGTGACAAACATGAAAGTGTGCCATTCAAACACAACTTAATAAAACTATCAGACGCAATTCTATAATGTGGGTATCATAAAACTGAAATGTTGTTTAATGATGTCGTGACCATGACTTCCTTTTAAGGTAGATACAGTACTCCATTACGATCATGATCAATGACAGTCGTACACTATCAAAGGCATAGTCAACAGAACAAGTGAATACCTATACTAAAAAATCAAGAGTTCACTGGATTATTAAGAAATATTAGCACTGCCGAGACAAATATTGTGCAAACAGAATTAGACACTAAGTTATAGGTAATTCCCATTAACTACGGCGTACTAAAGAATGTGTTGGCAAGATTTCTACCGATCGAAACGAAGCCCATTTTATCAATGTATAATTAAACACTAAGAAACATTAGGTGCTAATTCTGTTGGCATAGTCGTTAGCGAAAAAAAAAACAACGCATTCCGTTTCATAATACCTTTCCCTGCATGATGAGCCGAATTGTGAGTGTGAGGTTGGGATCGTCATTTAGTAATGCTTTGTCCAAATCCATGTCGAGTCGAAGAGGGTCGAGGAGTTAAGGAAGGTACCCGGGATCAGTTCTGAAACAAAAGAATAACAAATGAGTGCATTACATAAGTGCGCTTGGGCTCCATTACAATTGCATTAATAATTAAGATCTTGTATTCAATAGCTTGCATGCACATAACCATGGCGTGCTTTGCGAAACCGCCATTAATTTTATTCAGTTACGTTTCGTAGGGGTTTTTGGGGGTTAGTGGTAAGGGGCTTGTCGTGAATAAATATGCAAACTTACCTATTATAAAATATAAATGGTATAATATAAAAAATAATTACGGATAACGATTTGGTGTTGCGTCTCAGTCGTTGTACACGTGTTTACTTCACGCAACAACGCTGCCACCTTAGTCGTATGCGTCGGTTTGGTTTCAATTAAAAAATCCCCAACGCGCGCTTACGAGGCGTGTCTCGAAAATATTTGTACACGTCACAAACCGGTGCATGTTTTCGGATCGTCTGTGAAGTGAAATAAAATTCCTATGATGTGTAATAGATCACATTGAAGGCCTTTGTATCTATTTTAGCGTTGAATGGAATTTATCATAATTGTGAGGGGGCTATTGATATTGACTAAAAATTACTGCGATTGTTATTCATACATCCCAAACCCATACCAGTGGCGTAACTACCATCGGGCAGTTCGGGGCAATGCCCCGAGGCCCCGCAATCTCGGGGGGTCCCGCAACCCGAAAGGTGCCAGCCACACGTAGAAAACGACGTGTAGTATACAAAATATAAAAATGTGTGCCATACCCATAATGCCTCATTTTAGTGTCTTAAAATTGCTAAGTCTCAAGCGATCCTTCAGTAAATTGAAAATCATAAACAATTATCTAAGATCTGCTAGAAAAAGAGACTTTTAGATTTTCTATATAACTTTGGCTCGTCAAATATATGTAGACCTATGTAATTAATATTTCAAAAATTAAAAGTTTAGTATGTTCCGATTTTATATTTTACATTTAATAAGAAGCATGGGTTATAAAAATGACTGTTTTAAGGTGATTTTATTTAAACGATTCTTATTAAAAACTTTAATTCGTGCCTAGTAGTTATAGGGGGCCCCGAGGACCGTTTGCCCCGAGGCCCTGAGCTGTCTTGTTACGCCACTGACCCATACCCAAAGAGTTGTCCGACGTAGAGAAATTGAATCAGTACTTTACAAATTCAGCAACTAGACTACTTGGTGACACTACCGCTTTGGAAACGTTTTATGAAGGATATAGAGCAAGTTCTATATCCACAATTTTAAGTTTCACCACGGTTTCCGAGGATTAAATCTTTAGGATAATCCGGTCAATTAAATCAAAGGCAATTGGTATTGATGGGATTGGGATTAATCTAATTAACTGGTGTATTCCGTATCTGCTTCCAGTAATTACGCATATAATTAATTTTTGTATTACGCATTCCACTTTCCCAAAATGTTGGAAGCAGGCACGAATAATTCCGTTGCCTAAAATTTCAAACCCCACTTTACTTAAAGACCTGCGCCCGATTAGTATATTGCCTACCTTATCTAAAGTTATGGAGAGAGTAATTGCTCTGCAACTTTCGTCGCATTTGTGTTTCAATAAAATTATTCCTAACGTACAGTCAGGCTTTAAAGTTGGTCACAGTTGCAATACAGCCTTGCTAAAAATAGTGGACGACATAATGATTGCTTCAGATAAGGGACACTTGATTACTCTGGTGTTCTTAGATTTTACGAAGGCTTTCGACACAATTAACCACAAACTGCTCATTTACATTACTCGGGACTATCATATGCAGCCAGGAAGTTTATGATTAGTTATTTGGAGGATAGAGTCCAAGCGGTGTCGACTGCAGGTAGGTATTATGTCTAAATTTCTTCACACTAGTTGCGGTGTACCCCAAGGCTCCGTATTGGGTCCAATCTTGTTCAACATCTATATTTATACGTTTCCCCTTGCACTAAAGCATTGTACTTCTCATTTCTATGCGGATGATACGCAGTTATACTACTCTTTTGACCCATCGGAAGTACAGTTAGCATGCCATAGAATTAATGAAGATCTAACGCGTATTGCAAATGTTTGGAAGGATCATGGGCTCTTCCTTAATTCGGTCAAAACACAAGCGATTCTCTTTGGTAGGGATAAACATAGATTAGAAGCGAAGGGTAACGTACAAATAGCCATAGGTGGAAAGGCAATATCCATTGCGAGTTTGAAGATTATTTATCGCACTAGACACTTGCTTACTCGTATATGCAGTGCAGAAAGCTACTCTATGTAACGCCATGGTGCTGTCTAGCCTAAATTATTGTGATACTGTCTATGGCCCCTTTCTTGACTCAGCAGATATAAGAAAGCAGGGGCGGACTGGGTACTTAAGGGCCAGGTGGAATTGCATAGGTTACGGACCATTAAAGTATTAGAGTAGTATACTGCATAATAAAGCATATTTATTAGTAATGAAGCTAGGGGGGGGGGGTTAGTTCTGAGGTGCACCACAAAAACAGTGCTCCTTTTTCGAAAATCAATTAAGTACCATACAGTTTTTTTTTAAATTGCAGCTGATAATTAAAAGTAAAAAAATATACAATCCACATGAGGTGCGTCGCCTATCATTGTATTTCAGCACTTTCATGCTACGACAAAAAATGATAAATTCATTGTAAAACACTTCAATTAAAACAGAATTTTTTAACAACCTAATATCAACGCCAATTAGAGAAACGTGTTAATAATTTATTAATAGTGCAAGAAACTAAATACAGCACATACTTATAAATTTCCAACGGGCCATATTATGATCTACAGGCCAGGTGGCAACCGCCACCCGCCCCCCCGGGTCAGTCCGCCCCTGTAAGAAAGATACAATTGCTGTAAAATATTTGGAGTTAGGAAATTTGAACCAATTAGTTACAAATTAAAGGAATTAAAATGGCTTAATATGAAAAATCGGAGGTTTTTGCATGCTTCCACGGTATTCCATAATATTATAATCAACAGATCGCCATCTTATCTGTATGAAAAGATCACCTTTAGGACGGATGTCCATAATCTGAATTTCAGGTTTAAGGGGCTATTAACACCGCCAACATGTTACTCAATTTTTTAAACATTCCTTTTCTTATTGCATTGCAAATATTTACAATAACTTACCCGAAAACCTTAAAAAACTTTAATTTCATTCAAGTGTAGGTAAGCTACGGAAATTCCTGCTTGAAAATCAGTCACGTGCCTATAAACTTCAAATATTGTTTTTTTTTGTTTGTTACATTTTTTTGTCTAGTTCACATTCATACTTTTTTATTTATCTTAATCTAGTAATTCTAATTAGTTTTCATGCCAAATAGGTAGAATATGCCTATAATAGGTATCGGAATAATTTCTAGGGTTAGGTAAGTGTAAGAACAGGCAGCGGTTTTTTCTGCTGCACTGAACTTCGCCCTTGCTTGGAAGTCCTTTGGTTATTTTTTTTTCTATTTCCTCAAATAAAGGCAATATTAATTATTATTATTATTATTATATAATCGTTGAGAAGAGTATAGGTAAAATATCTATCATAGTTTATTTTATATTGGGGAATTTATACGACTCTGTTCCTCATTTCGAAAAACGTTTTAATAGTTTTTTCACTTGCAGGTGAAGTTCTAGAGCAAGATCCCACGGCCCCCACACCTTACTTATTTTCTGATGGACAAAATGTGTCTTATGGAAACACCCTTTATTTGAAGAGATAGAAAAAATTAGAAATGGACCTAGTCGCAAACAGAATTCAGCTATAACTAATCTTTTGGCCTTTCTCGAATTTAGCCCCAGAACTTTCGTATTATTAAAGATAATTGATTTTGGCAAAATCAAGAGCACTTTTTATGTACAATCCATTGCGATACAGGGTGTTTTGTTTTCCTTATACGACCTTAAACTATATTTTTTCATATAGACCACCCTATATATTTTGGGGTTCTTGAGAAGAGTGTAAAATTTCCTAAATTTGGATGTATCACTTGTAATATTTTTATATTAAATATTATTTGCAAATTGCAATATTGCATTTTATATACAATAAAACAAATATATTCAACACATCTAGCTTTCCATGGCCAACAAAGATGACAGGATTGTATGAAAAGACAATTTCTTGGTTATTTGGAAATGTTTTTTAGTTTCCAAATACTGTTAAATTCAAATTAACACACAAAGAACGTGAAAACTCATGCGAATAAAACAAATAAGTCACATAATATATAAATAAATAATGCAGGTAACCAAGAAATTGCCGTTTTGAACAATTCTGCCATCTTTTGTTCGCCATGGAAACCTAGATGCCTACAATAAAAAAAATTTAATGTATAAAATGAAATATTGCAAATAATATTAAAATATAAAATATAATAAGTGATACCTCAAAATTTAGGAAATTGTACACTCTTTTCAAAAACTCCAAAATATGTAGGGTGGTCCATATGAAAAAATATAGTTTAGGGTCGTATACGAAAAACCAAATACCCTCTATAAAAGCTGTGCTTCGCAGAAAAATATATTAAAATAGCCCCATAAATATCATAGATAAAAATCAAGTCTCAGATTGTAGGTAAGTAAAGCGAGTACAATTTTCACGTAGGTATCTGTAGCACCTGAGAATAGGCCGTCCGTGGGTCCAAGCTAGAGGGTATGTATACGTTCCTTGTGCGGACTAGTAAATAAGTAAGGTCTGGGAATCCTGGAATCTTGCACTATTCTGGTTATGGTTAGTAAAGCTGATGCGTTAAATTTGTAACTATTGGAATTGCCTTTTAGTCCAGTAAAATAGGAACAGGCCCTCAAAAAGTGACATGTGGAAAGTTGGAAAAAACTTCCCAATATTTCTTCCGTTTTTCGCTTAAACTCCTCCCCCAGCTTAAAAAGCTTTAAATTCTGCGTCGATTTGTCACTTTGAGATCCCCTCCCCCGCTCATATATCTACTTTTTTTGTAATTGGACTGTTCATAATTAAAGACTTTGAAAATGTGACGTGTACAGTTCGACGATGATTCTTTAACTTATCCTTATTATTGGGTGTGTAATTGCACTGTACACAATTAAAGACTTTGGAAATATTATGCGTTAGACGACGATTACAATTGTATAATTACAGCGATCACATTTAAAATTCTTGAAAGTAAGTGATAAACTGCAAAAACTATCCTTGGTCTTTAAAGTGTAATTACATGAAATTTTTGCAAGTGTATTTACTTTTACAACCGTAAAAACTACAATATTGATTACTTTTGCCCATTGTAAATAAACTAAAATGGCGGTCTTATCCCACCAATAGTAATTACGATATGCTGCTACTAGATGTCCCACTGTTAATCTGAATCGCGAATGATATTATCTGCTAAATCTATATC